ATTTCGGATTGTAAGCACCCAAACATCATCATCTTTCTTACCTATGGCTTCAAAAGGACAATTGATAAGGCGTGAACATGCTTTCCTTTTGCGCTTGCTTTCATCCATCTTCCTTCTGTTGCGATATACACCTCCTCTGTCACAACCAAGTATAACTCTTCTATCCCTCCTGGACTTCTTAATAGTCACCACATATCCCTGGCTTGCGCCAAACTCACGGACATGTTTGATTAGCTCTTCACGATCCTGAAATGTACCAGGTGGCGGTGGAAGCATCAACCTCTCCGTAGTGACATCTGATTGAATCTGAAGTTCCATCTCCAGCAATATAAAAGTATATGGCTAACCAATAAAAGCATAAAATGTAAGCGAGGGAGCAACATTTTTATCCACAAAACACCAGAAATAACTAAATGACATTAAAAAACACTGATTCAAACCAAGGATAAGATGATAGGAGACAAATTATGGTGGATGAAGAGCCCATACACATATAAGTGCAAAATACTTCCCAGGAATAACACTTCAATTTCTACCTTTAGACTGCAAATGGAAAAAAAACAAATAGATATAGTAGCTCCACTGTCAACACAACTTATGTTAATAAAACAGCATGATAGTTTTTTCTCTTTTCTCTTTCATTCTCTTTGTCAAATAAAGGCTAACCAGCTGATGCAAGGAATTAACTCAACAAGGATCAAACTTGTAACAAATTTAATATCTCAGAATCTCATTCGGAACTTCACACTGGCAAGGCGTTAACGTATAGTTAATCTGGATAATACATCCAATCAAGATGCAGCCTTTGGCTCATATGGGTTTGTTTAGATGGTTGAAGTTAAAATGGTTTATTTAGCTGATCATGAAAGCTGTCAATCCTCAATCATTTTCCTTTAATGTAACCTTTAGCTCAGCTATAAGGATTACTTCAGCAGCAAGTCTGGCAGTTACTTTCCATTTTAGAAGGTTTAAGTGTTGAAAAATGGTGTTTTGCTCAAACTTTCCCAGGATTCTTCTACTCTATTGCTAATTATCAACACCCCTCTTAACAGCTAACTGAAAGTGAACCCACAAGAACGAGCAAAACCAACTTCAGGAGTAAAATTTCGATTAAAAACCATCCATTTTTCCTTCCAAGATCTTGATAAAACCACAATTAGGCCAAAAAACACACTCAAAAATCAAAACCAAACAAGTACTCATCTGTACTAATTACTTAAGCAATGTCCGCCAATGGCAGAAGGCTGATTCCCAAAAAAATCCCAGTTGTGAAATCAAATAATCCTCTAACTTAAACTGAAAATGTAGTACAGCAAAGAAGTAGCAACAATCAAAAACCAAAAGAAAAAAGACTGACCTTTCCCCTTTTTTCTGCAGGACGGCACTGAAATCAATAAAATTATTGAAAAGGGGTTTCTTTAGTTGACTAGATAAAGCCAAAGATTTTGTGATGACCAAGACGGACTTTCAATCTTGCAGCAGCAGCAAAACGACGTCGTTTCACTTTTAGTGGAACGACGTCGTTTTGTATAATGAGGGAAAAAAAAATACATCAGATGAAGCCCTAAGGCTTCATCTGATGCAAAAGCACGCCGCGTCGCCGCCAATGCCAAAGGCCAAAGGGCAAACAACTGAAACAAGACTCCAAGTCTCCAACTCCAAGAAGAAGACGCCACTCACGCCAGGCTCCAAGAACTCCAAGAAGCTTCAGTTGAGAACTTGAGATTCTACCATCCTGCTTCAAGCCTTCAATTCAAGGCTCCAAGACTCCAACTCTCCACCATTCCATTCACATAAATCTTTTAGGTTAGTTTTTTGGTTTAAATTACAATATTCATCTTTATATTTTTGTTAATTATATGTTTAAATTATTTTTGAATTTTGAGTATCTTGATATTAATTTGATTAAGATTAATTTTTATTTAGTTTATGTTAATGTAATTTAAGAATTTGAAAGATTACATTAAAAAATTTAATGATATTAAATTTAAATTAGAAATTAGTTTAGAAATTGTATAGATTTTAGGTTGTATTTAGTTTTTAAAATTTTGTTAGTTTTATATTTGAAATTTTAAGAATTAATTATGTGAATTAGAAATTTTGAATGTAAATATAAATTCAAAATTTTATGAGATTGAATTAGAAATTATATGGGTATTTAGTTGTACCTTATTTTAACTTTTTGATAATTTTATATAATGAATTTTATAAATTGAGAAATATAAGTAATATGAATTTATTATTAAATTAAAGAATTATTTATATGAATTTTAAATTAATTGATTATTGAATTGCATAATTTTATTGAATTTAACCACAATTATTTAATTGTGACAGAAAATGGAGAGATTCTTTAAACCTAAACGAGTCCGTAGTGGTGAATCTTCAAATGAGCCTAATATTAGTGAACCAGTTCAAAATCAATCTTGTGTGGAATTGAATTTAAATGATATTGTTAGTGATCCGGGATTACGAAAATCAGTTGAGAAATTTGATATTTCTCTTCGAGACCATGTCCGAAGAGAGTATTTGACTAGGGGACCTTGCCAACCGATTGGCCATATGTATCCAAAAACATCATTTGGTCAACAACATAGAAGTTTCCAAGATATTTGGTATCAAAAGTTTGTATGGTTAGAGTATAGCATATCGAAAGATGCGGCGTTTTGCTTTTGGTGCTTTCTTTTCAAAACACAAAATAAGGGAGGTCGATATGCAGAGGATGCCTTTACAAAAACGGGATTCAATAATTGGAAAAAGGCAATGGAAAGATTTAATGAACATATTGGAGCTGTGAATAGTTGCCATAATGATGCTAGAATACAGTTTGAAAGTTTTCAAGATCAAAGGCATAGTGTGTCAAATGTGCTACGATCTTGTGGGCGCGAAATAGATATTGCATATCGCACCCGTTTAACTGCTGCTCTGGATGTGACCCGCTTTCTTTTGAAGCAAGGATTGGCTTTTCGTGGAAATGATGAGTCAACTAGTTCTTCAAATAGAGGCAATTTTCTTGAATTGTTTGATTGGTATAGCCAGCGAAATACTGAGATTTTTGAGGTTGTAAATCAAAATGCTCCTGCAAATAATCAACTAACTTCTCCAATGATTCAAAAAGATCTGGCACATGCTTGTGCCTCAGAGATCACAAGTGTTATAATCAATGATATTGGAGACAATTATTTTTCCCTAATAGTTGATGAGTCTCGAGACAGTTCAGTGAAAGAGCAAATGGGAGTTGTTTTGAGATATGTGAACAAAGAAGGGCGTGTGATTGAACGTTTCCTTGCAATTGTACATGTGTCTGACACCACATCTCTTTGTTTGAAAGATGCAATTGATTCTTTATTCGCGCAACACGGATTATCATTATCCAAATTGAGAGGTCAAGGATATGATGGAGCTTCAAATATGCGAGGTGAGTTCAATGGTTTGAAGGCCCTTATATTACAAGAAAATCCCTATGCGATGTATATTCACTGTTTTGCTCACCAACTCCAGTTAGTTATTGTTGCTGTTGCTAAGGGAAATATCATTATCAGTGAATTCTTTGTCTATGTCTCTATGATTGTCAATTTAACTGGAGTATCATGTAAAAGGAGAGATCAATTAAGACAAATAGAACATGATAAGATTGTTGCACTTTTAGACAGTGGAGATATTATTAGTGGAAAAGGCAAAAATCAAGAAACTAGTTTAGCAAGACCAGGGGATACTCGTTGGGGATCACACTATCTAACATTACTTCGTCTATCCTCTATGTGGGCTTCGGTGATTGGAATATTGGGAAATATACAAGATGATGCCTCCACTTCTGACAATAGAGGTATGGCCAGGGGTTTGATTGATAGAATGAATGATTATGAGTTTGTTTTTGCATTGCACCTGATGAAGTATTTATTGGGAATCACAAATGACTTGTCACTTGTTTTGCAACAAAGGGATCAAAATATTGTCCAAGCCATGAGTTTGATTGATACTATGAAATCTCAATTGCAAGACTTTAGGGAAGAGGGATGGCAAATAATTTTAGATGAAGTCAACAATTTTTGTGAGTTGAATATGATTCCCGTGATTGATATGGAAGACAGTATAGCAATCCGTGGCAATGCCAGGCGCAGTCGCAGAGGTCAAACCATCACTAATTTTCATCATTATCGCGTGGAAATTTTTTGTGAGGTATTATTTTTGAAATTATTATTTCATTACATTTGTTACTTGTTAGCAGATTTTCTTAGTTATTAATTTTATTATTGTTGTGATGTCAGGTTGTTGATTTAATTATACAAGAGATGAATAATCGTTTCTCGGAAGTTAGCACGGAATTGCTTAGTTGCATAGCATGTCTTGATCCAAAAAGTTCTTTCTCTCAATTCAATGTGCAGAAACTACTCCGTCTTGCTGATTTATATCCTGAACACTTCTCAAGTAACGATTATTTATATCTTGAGTCTCAACTTCGAAATTATATTTATAATGTGCAACGCGATCCTCAATTTTCAGAAGTTGGAGATTTGGGAAGTCTTGCTCAACAAATGGTTAAAACTGGTAAAAATACAGTTTTTCCATTTGTTTATCGTCTGATCCAGTTGGCATTAGTTCTACCAGTTGCGACTGCTTCTGTTGAAAGAGTATTTTCTGCAATGAATATTGTCAAGACTGATTTGCGCAACAAAATGGGAGACGAGTGGATGAATGACTGTCTGGTTGTATACATCGAGAAGGATATTTTTGCAACAATTGAAAATGAGCAAATATTGCAGCGTTGAAGACTCGCAGAATGCAATTGCCTCCTCTTCGTTATTCGAGTGCAACAACTACCAATACTTCAAGTGTTAATCAATAACAAATTTTTGGGTATGTATAATTATATGTTTTTATTATTTTTATAATTATTGATTCTAAATTTTACTTATTAAATATATTTATTTCATCACAAAAAAAAATTTTTAATACACTTCAGCCCCCCAAAAATAAATTTCTGGCTCCGTCCCTGTTTGGGTGGGCCGCAAGAGACTCATCTGGGCATCTCTCTCCATTCAAGTTTTCCAGAAGGTACCTAACTGTATACATATTTGGATTTTCAAAGCATATTTCCCTGGTTTTTTTTTTTTTTGGGTTTGCTTTTCACTTTCTTGGGAAAATTACGCCAAAATCACACTTTAAAAGTTTGTCATTTTCAAAGCATTTTTTTTTTCCTTTGTTGCCTTCCAAAGTTTGTCATTTTGTAAACAAAAATACATCTCCTTGAGGTAAATAACACTTTGACTCCATGCGAATTTTAGTAGACTAGAATCCTGATTATGTAGCAGATCAGATATGATTCCAGACACCAAATGTGAAAGATTAAAAATGAAAAAAGAAGTTATTATCATGATTATTGTCCTTTCTTTTGGGTTTTTTTGGACTTTAAAGTAGTGGACTTGTGATTGTTTGTGATATTGCAGGGCGAATGGTGAGCGTGATGTGCAGTTCAAGGCAGGGACGGAGCCAGAAATTTATTTTTGGGGGGCTGAAGTGTATTAAAAAATTTTTTTTGTGACGAAATAAATATATTTAATAAGTAAAATTTAGAATCAATAATTATAAAAATAATAAAAACATATAATTATACATACCCAAAAATTTGTTATTGATTAACACTTGAAGTATTGGTAGTTGTTGCACTCGAATAACGAAGAGGAGGCAATTGCATTCTGCGAGTCTTCATCCGTTGAAAACGCTGCAATATTTGCTCATTTTCAATTGTTGCAAAAATATCCTTCTCGATGTATACAACCAAACAGTCATTCATCCACTCGTCTCCCATTTTGTTGCGCAAATCAGTCTTGACAATATTCATTGCAGAAAATACTCTTTCAACAGAAGCAGTCGCAACTGGTAGAACTAATGCCAAGTATGGGATAAGGTTCCCAACAATTCTTCTGTCTTCTTCAGTTTCGGAGTTTTATGCATCCTGAAAAAGAAAAAGCGAAGGAAGAAGACCATTGGTCTTGGTCGGGCAATTAAATGATTAATTGCAAAATAAATCTACATCTATTTTCTATACATAGACTTCTCCAATAAGTACCAAATGGTTCGAAATAGAAAGCATTGAATTGAAGGATTTGCAGGCCGCATACGTATTTATCCGGCCCGTTATCATTATTAAAAAAGCGATGTGTGTGATTATTCCTCTTAACCTAGCAAGGCATTATTGAAGAATTGAGTAAAGGTTCCCAAATTTAAAATGCTTGAATTGGTAGAAAAGCCCCCGCTGGTCATCATGGGTTTATGAACTCGCAAGTCATCATGGGGGACATGATCTCTTCACACAAATTTGCTAAACCAAACAAATAAAGAAAAGAAAATAAATTAATGTCGTCTACAGCCTCATCAGTTTTTTGAGTTTTACTTGAGAAGATTGCAAGTACTTCTCATGTTATTTCCCTGCATTAATGCCTACAATGTCTTTCAGTTCCGAATTGGGTAAGTTGGACGACTCCCGCGTCCGCCTTATTGGCCTCATCCACACCAAATACTCTTAATTGTCCTTGAATAAGAAAGATTTTTAGGAAGGGGAAAACAAAACTTAGATTGTCATCATCCTCCATAGGTTCCGCTGAAGTACTTGCCAGTATAAAACACTACACAATTTTGTCATGAAAAGAAAATGGATGTGTGTGTGTATCACTCGCTACTGCTATTGCCATTTGCCTCTATTTATTTGTCTCAAAAAAGACCTGGAGGATCAGGCTCAAACAGAAAGTGAGAATAATCCACAAGGTCTTCTTCATCTTGTTGATTATTCACGTTGCCGTCACCGCCCAACTAGCTGGGCTGGCCGCCGGAATCCCCTATATATAGGGGGTTTTCCGGCGGCTTGGGGGGGGGGCTTAAGCCCCCACCAGCCCCCCCTTAAATCCGTGGCTGGTTCAAGGTGTTGTACTGTGGAATCTGTCACTCGGATCTTCATTTCATCAAGAATGATTGGGGCTTTACTTTGTATCCTACTGTACCGGGGTAAGACTGAATTCCAAAGATAATCTTCCGTATAATAGTACAGTTTTCTCTGTTCAGTAACAAAATAGAGATAGGCATGGGATCTGCGGGTAGAGACTATTGTATCGAGCTAGATTTGCCCTTTAGTGCCAAAAGATATTACTTGGAATTTTAGAATTTGCACAGTGGCTTTTTTTTTTTTTTTTTTAAAGACTTATCCTGTCCTTCTGAAATGAAATGTAGGCGGATGGATAAATATGCATACAAAAGGTGAATTTGATAGTTTTTTTACCCTCAGAATGAATTAATATATTTCTGCCAAAAGTGTATGGGCATATGTGTGCTTATCTTTGCCTTGCCTTTGTGGGCATCAGAAGAAGAAGCCCTAAAAATAATAATTGTTGTAAATATAATCTACCATGGCCTAAGAGTTAAAAGATTTCTTTACATGAGTAGGTGGAAATGCATAACACATATATGAAGAGAATATTTTAAATGTAATAGAGATTACGTGTCATGCGTCCTCACTGGTCTATTGAATTCGCCATTTTTTTTTCACTCGTGTTTTTGCTTAAATATATACCGATTCTTTCAAAGTACCAACAAAAATAAGAAGTAAATTGGATTTTCCTGCCTTTTTCAATCATTTCACTTTACTTAAGCTTCTCTAAAGATGGTGATGGAAAAGCTGTTGAAACTGAAAATATGGTCTCCATTTTAAAAGTTTTGACTATCAGAAGTAGATGAGAATCCCTGCAAACGATTTTTTACTTGAAAAAATTACAATCAAGTGATTATGTACAAATGGTCATAAGTGAGCTGTGAGAATACAATGAATTGTGATTTTTCATGAAACCAAGTTTAAAGAGATGCTGACCGTCTGGATTTGATTGATGCAGTCATGAAATTGTGGGTGTGGTAACCAAGGTTGGCAGCAAGGTGGAGAAAGTTAAGGTTGGTGATAAAGTAGGCATGGGTGCCCTAGGCGCATCATGTCGCAACTGTGAAATGTGTTGCCAAGATCTTGAAGCTTACTGCTCAGAGAAAGTATTCACACATGGCTCAATTGACAAGCATGGAGAACCCACACAAGGTGGCTTCTGTGATCTCATGGTAGCTGATGAGCACTTCCTTTTTTGTTGGCCTGAGAATTTGCCTATGGATGCTGGCGCACCCCTCCTATGTGCTGGGATTACTACTTATAGCTCCATGAGGTATTTTGGACTTGATAAACCTGGTATCCATGTTGGCATAGTTGGCCTCGGTGGGCTCGGCCACTTAGCTGTGAAATTTGCCAAGGCTTTTGGTGCAAAGGTGACTGTTATCAGCACATCTGCTAGTAAACGACAGGAAGCTATAACAAAACTTGGTGCAGATGCATTCCTGGTCAGCAGTAACCCTGAGCAGATGCAGGTAATTGATCCTACTGCTAAAGTAGAATCAGTTATATAAATGGTATTGTGGTTTCGTGTTTGAATGAGATAATTTTATTGTCACTGTCCAGATTGCTCCTTTCCAATTCTTTCTGGCATTGATATATATTGTAGGAGTGAGACACAAGTAATTTTTTAATTGACTTTGAATTCTGATCAATGCACCTTTGATCAGGCTGCAGCTAGTACTATGGATGGTATTCTTGATACAGTTTCTGCAAATCACCCAATTGTCCATTTAATCAATTTAGTGAAGCCTCTAGGGAAGTTTATACTGCTTGGTTTACCTGAAAAGCCACCTGAGCTGCCGATATTTCCCATTATAATGGGCAAGTATATCATGGTTTTGTTTTCCCTTTTCAGTTGAATTTGCCCATCTCCTCCGAGTGATAAGATTGTGTCTAACTTGCAAAACATGTGATCAACAGGGAGAAAGACAATTGCTGGTAGTGCCAATGGAGGCCTAGAAGAAATTCAACAGATGATCAATTTTGCAGCAGAGCACAATATATTTGCAGAAGTCGAGGTTATCCCGATAGACTATGTCAACACAGCAATGGAGCGACTTAAAAAAGGTGATATCAAATATCGATTTGTCATCGACATTGGGAATTCATTGAAATCAGCTTAAGATGTTCACTTTTTCTTAAAAAAAAAATTTTTTTAATGATTTTTTTGGCCGAGTTTGAGAATATATTAGGAAAAAATCTGTTCTGTCTTAATAATGGCTCACAGTTGACCATCTTGTCTCCTAGATTTCATCTTCGTATATGATGTTTTAATGTTAATATGAATTATGTGGATGCTTCTGCGCCTATATTATAGGCCTGTTTTCGTGTAATTTAGAGTATTGATATCTCAAGGAATCGTGGGATTTGTGAAGTGTTTAGCCTTATTTTTCAGTGATTTGTGACGGAAGATGTTTGTTTTGTCTATATTTATCAGGATCATTTTTTTTTTCTTCACTGAATACCTATTAGCTAGGTTGACAATATGAATATAATCCAAATTAACACCATGGCATAAAAAACTACTTCTTGAATTCAAATTCTCAATTCACCTCAACTGCAAAGAATCAGCTCGAAAAGCAGAACAGGTATCTACTGATCCCCTTTCTACACTCTCTTCGAAAACATATAATTCAGCAAGCAATGCAAAATCCCATGCATGAGGATTATTGAGGACTTGGATGAGAGACTTGTTGAAGCACTACGATAAGGGTAAGGATATACCCGGGGAGAAAGGGAATTGGTGGCTTGGGGACTTTGCCAAGCACTCGACTAGTATTGGGCAATAGTGCAGAAATTGAACCAACTTTGATGTGTAGTCTATGGCCGGCCTTGCATTGGGCAGGAAAGCCACTGACTTAGTGGTAATCACCGGCTGATATGAAACTGATCGAGTCATTTCCAGAGTTGTACGGTGGCAATTGCAAATTTTGCTGTGCAGGAGTTTGTGACATTCAATTAATTAGAACATATATTTTGTGACCAAAGTGTATGGTTTCATTCGTTAAGTGGTTAAACATGAAAGTTTTTATTAGTTGAGTGATCAAATATATACTTTATTATTAGTTATAGGGCAAATTATCCATTTGGCCCTTGAACTTTTAGTTTAAGTAAAATTAAGCCCTCTAACTATTTATAGTCAACTTTTAATCCTTAAACTTGTAAAATTGGAAACCCGTGGCCCTTTTACCTGGTTTATCCGGTTTTGCAACCAACCGGGCCTTGCTCTAGAAAAATATGATTTCATAGTTAGGCCGGTGATAGATGGAGAAAGAGTGGATTTCTTCGTGTTAAAGAGGCCATTTATGGAAGAATTTTTGGAGTTCCTGAGTAATAAATTTGAGATTGTGGTGTTCACAGCTGGAATTGAGGAGTATGCTTCCTCCTTGAATTTAGCAAATTTGGTGGCGGAGGAGGAGGAGTCCTTGCTGTCATTGTGGGAGAGTTGTTGGGGGGCAGCGGCAGCTTTATTAGAAGAGGAAGAAGAAGAAAAGGGAGAGTAATTAATCAAACCCCAGACCTGCAAGAAATAAAAAACCCCCGCGAATGGAGCCGACGTCTCCAACGATGGTCTTGCGGACTTCAGAAAAAGTGATTTTTTTTGTTGGGGGGGGGGGGAAGGAAGGGTTGTCCCTGAATCTCTGAATGATGGCATTACTGTAGTATTTGTAAGTCTTGGGGTTCTTGGAGGCTGATCTTCCGTCGATGGCAGGTTGGGTTAGGGAAAGGGAAGAAGATAGAGCTGTTCACTTTTTGCTTAGAATATACGGACAAAAATGCCCTCCTTTAAAGCATATTGTCATTCGTGTGATTTAATTTTTCAGTTGCAAAACTGGATAAACTAGGTAAAAGGGCCACGAATTCCCAATTTTATAAGTTTGAGGGCTGAAAGTTGACTACAAATAGTTAGAGGGCTTAATTTTACTTAAACTAAAAGTTCAAGGGCCAAATGGATAATTTGCCCTTAGTTAAATGACTATTTTAACTAAACAAAAGATCCAGTGATCAAAAGAATTTAGTGACTATTTTTGCTATTTGGTTCAAAAGAAACTTGAAGGCTGGCGCATTAGTCGGGCTCTTATTTCGGGCTCAGTCTTTTTTGTGTTTGGGTGTAATATTCAAGCCATCCATCAACACTTCCAAATCCAAAAAACTTAGGCCAATCATTGCAATCTTTATTAATTGTCTGGTCTGTTCTGTCGTCTGCTAAATTGATGGCACTACTCCCACGTGGTAAAGCTTAGAACCGTCGACTAATTCCACATGTTTGATATTTTCCTCGAAGTTGCTTCCTTGTTCTTCTCTGCTCTTGTATTCCCCTTCCCTATATAAAGCCACCCAACTATTTGCTCTTTCATCACCAACATTTTCTTCAAGCTCTAAATTGATAGGCTCTGATCAGCTTCCTTCTTTTCTGCTCTCTTTCTCATCTAGTCTTGAAGAGAAAGAGAGAAGTCCAATATCTACCTACCTAGTGTCTACACATAAGCAAAAACCACTGCAAGTTCCTTCAATCTGTTCCCCAAGTGCGGGTTTCTTGGATTTGCAATTTGAAGACGAAAAATGGCAAAGAAAATGATGCACATGAAGTCATGGATGGAGGTTGCACCATCTCCTTCAGTTCTTCCATTGAAACCTTCTCATTCTCCTAAGCTGGAGACCATCAGAGAAGATAGAGCTGAAGGGCGCGACGACAACGATGATGGATCGTGATTATGGGTGTGGTGCCTTCCCCTTTTCTTATTCTGACAACCTTTTCAGGTAGCAGAAGGTTTTCTCGGCCTAAGTCCTATGTACATAGCCAAGAATATGAAATTATGTAAGGTAGCTGGCTCTGATTAGTACAGTACGATCATAATCTAGATTTTAGAGATTAGAGACATTCTCAATAAAATTGTCCAATCTCTGATTTACTATTAACTCTCAAGATCTCTCTCTTTTAATTTATCTTTTGCTCGTGCGTTCCTAACATGGCACTTTGGCAAGGGGAAAACATTGCTGAGAGAAGGATTTTGCCTTGTTTGAAAATACAAACCAAGGCAGAGTTGAATACATTTTTTAATTACTTTTTTATTCTGCATACATCATATCAAAAAAGTGCTACAGTATTCGTTCATAAAATTATTTGATCGTTCATAAAATTATTTCAAATAATTTAGAATCCAAACACAATTATCATTATTTTGCATGGAATGCAGAGCTAAAAAGCCATTGACATTGTAGAATCCAGGTTCCTGCGCTAGTTAATTAAATCAATTGGTAGGTGCTAGAAAAGTCAATTGTTAAACACTAAAAGGGTCTTTTCTTTATTATGGTTCCGCTTGAAGAAAAACGATGAGAAGAGGGGATCGTGAAAAATCCCAAAGAAAGAAAGAATGAATTTGGTCGGGTGTTGATGATTTCGATCCTACGTATTGCCTAATGCCGAACCCTGCAGCCATTTCTTCTGATGGTACGAAACCTTTCAAATTCAACTGTTACTCCAGAGTTTAGAAAGAAAGAATATAATCCAAAGTCCACGATCCAGATGGAAAGCCGATTCAGATTCAAATATTATTAGTCAAGCAAAAGCATGGTACAAACTTTTTGTTCCTGCCTTGAAAGGTGAAAACAACGATTCAAGAAAAGTCTCAATTGCAATTTCAAGCAATCAAGTACTTGGGGCAGCCACAAGAGTATTCCCAATATCAATAACAAATCGATATCTAACATCTCCCTTCTCAAGACGTTCCATTGCTTTGTTAACATAATTCGCAGGAATGACCTCAACATCTGCAGTGATATTGTGCTTTGCTGCAAAATCAATCATCTCTTGAGTCTCCTTTATCCCCGCAGCAGCAGATGATCCCATCATTTTTCTCCCTGTCATCAATTATATATAGAATCGAATCAAAGGGCATAAAAGTTTTTTTGAAGATAAATTAAATTTCATTGTTTTAATTCACAAACCAATAATGAGGGGAAGGATGTCCACTTCGAGGGGCTTATTCGGTGCCCCAACGACAACAAGCTTTCCATGAGTTTTGAGCAGACCAAATAATGGCATGACCGGATGAAAAGCAGATACTGTGTCAATTATACCATCCAATGTGCCAGTGGCCTCCTGTCAGACAAATTAATATATCCTATGTCAATTGATGATTTTGAAGAAATTTATAATTTTTCTAATTTAGTGTTGTAACATTAAAAAAGAAAAACAACGACGACAACATTGAGAGGCATGGTTTCTATTTACAAGTTGTAAAATTAGAGTTAAAAAAATCCATATCTATAAAAAGGAGACATGAAGCAATTTTTTATGGTGAAAATGATTTTCAAAATTTCCTTCCCAAGTCTCAGCATGCTGGCATAGGAGGGTAATTTATGTCATCACCTGCATTTGTTGTGGATCAGTGCTGACCAAAAACTTGTCAGCTCCAAGATGATTGATGGCTTCCTCCTCCTTCCTAGCTGAGGTGCTGATGACAGTTACAGTGAGCCCCCAAGCCTTGGCAAATTTTACTGCCACATGGCCCAAACCACCAAGTCCCACAACGCCCAGATGGCTTCCTGGTTTGTTCAACCCATAATACATCATTGGACTGTATACACTAGAGCCGGCACAGAGAAGCGGAGCACCACCATCAAGAGGGAGGTTCTCCGGCCAGCGAATTGCGAAATGCTCGTCCACCACCATCTCATTGGAGTATCCTCCATGAGTAGGCGCTCCATCTTCGCCAATGGAGAGGTAGGTCATGATGTTCTTGGGACAATAAGGCTCTAAATCATTTGAGCATTGCTCGCACGAGCGGCATGACCCAACAAAGCAGCCCACCCCAACTTTATCTCCAACTTTGAATCTTGTTACCTGTTTTCCGATTTCGGTCACAAATCCAACAATTTCATGCCTGCTCCCAAAAAAAAAAAAGAATTAAATTAAGGCTAGAGCAGCCTAATAATGAAAGTGACTGAAATTGTTTATAAAACTACTCATAAGTAAAACGATCTTGGAAAGAGGTTAATTTTAGTTCATTAAGAAAATTAAACAAGATATATTCAGCACGGTTAACTTTTTGTTTTTTTTATTATGAGTGGGAGATTTCGAAATCGAAACATCTTAATGAGAGTGCTTTCCTCCGTACTATTCAATCCATCCTCCCTCCCCCAGCACAGTTAACTTGTTAAGGATGAACAAAAGCATTTGATGACAAGTTGACATGAATGTCCTACCCAGGTACAAGCGGGTATATAGGCAAGCCCAAGTCACCTCTTGCAGCACCGAGGTCTGTGTGACAGATTCCACAGAACAGCACTTTGAATCTAACATCCTTGGCACCGGTTGCCCTACAATTTATCCACATTAAATTCTTCTTGCCACGTTAAAATTACAACAAACAAATAATTGCTAGATAACAAGAAAATAAATGGTTACTTCACAACCATGTGCCTTACAAATTTTTCTCGAAATGTAA